CCACTAGGCCCACGACTTCATCTCGTCATTTGGTATTGTAAAAAAAAAGGAAAACCTGGACATTATAAAAGAACAAAATAAAAACAGAACAGGTCCAAAAATTAAGCTGGCGTAGTGTACATTGGAGGTAGTGTACATTCGTTATACCTATAGATGTTCTTGAAATGCCCCTTACAAAAGTCAACATTAAACATGTACGATAATATTAAATGTTAAAAAAATAGCAGCCCTGAGGACTAAGTCCACAATTGGAATGACTACGTGCCTACATATAGGGAATTGTTTAAAGGCAGTATCAGTCTTTGCAATTTCATAAATAAAATTAGTTGTATATAAATCAAAGAATGACGGTCAATTCATGGATATGTATAAAGTGCAATTTTTGTAAATAAAATACAATATAAAAAAACTAAAAATGTATAATAAACTTATTCATTTATATCACTAGAGCTAAAAATTGTCATCGACTCGATAAGTCGTCATAAATTTAAATTGATATTATTATAGTACGAGTTAAAACAAGAGACTCGCGTTTTTTCATTGATCATGTTTTAATAAAAACAATTTTTTTTATGGCTTTGAATAATTTTTGTTAAGTGTAGCGCCACACATGGTCCGTATTTAGCCACGCACAGAGATGGGCACGCGCCAGGGTTTCAACTTGGCCTTTGTTAAATCTATTTACAACTAAATATTTGCTGTAATTCGAGTTTAGTTCAAATATAATTATACTACAACATGTTTATTGCTTTCTATGATATAAATCGATATCAAAAATTGTTAGATCTTAAGCGTTTGAATCGATTTTCATAAAAATTAATCCTTAGTAGTGAGAATTCACAAGATTGCAAGGTAGATTGTAGAGTTGCCTCTTTTTCGTCTAAAAAACATTTTTCACATCTACCTTTGTAATAAGTATGGAATTATACCAAATACCGTATTCACCGTTTCCGCCCACGATTTTGGGCGGAAATGTGTAAAACAACTATATATATGTTTTAAATGCAATCGATAAATCGAAATAGTACATACAGCACACTCTATAATAAACTGGCGTATTCGACAAGCAAAATCGTTTGGTAAGCTGACGAAATTTATTTAAATATAGTAGTGTATGAAATACACAAAAAATGAATATATTTATTTACTTTTATTAAATATCACGATGTTTTATTATCAGAATATTAATATTTTTGTTAAAGACTCCATTAGTTTGTTTTGTTATTATTGATACAAAGAAACACAAAAAAGAACCCTTCGATTCTATTGGATTCGAACCAATGTCTGTTGCTTTAACGTGGCTGCTATAAGTAAAAAGAGATATAATGGTAATAAAAACATGATGATATTCAATCAAAATTAATATTACTGTGACTAGCATGTAGCGACATTCCTATGAATCTTCTGGTAGCTGTAAAAGTATCTGGCTGAGTGAAGAAACTTTAATAAGTTCTCACAGGTGGCTCTGCGACCAAAAAAGCCTTTCAAATTATTTTTATATTAAATAGAATTTAGTCATACTTGGCAACAGCAAAATGGCATATTTGGCTGGTGCCGCCGCGTCGATTATATTTTGGCAGATTTCCCAAAACGTTACTTCCCGAATTACGCCATTTTATTATTGATTACGATACCCATCGTCATTTTATGGTCAAGATTTCAAAATCTACCGACATAAAAGACCTATTGTTTTTTTGGGAGATTTTAATAGTAGTTTGCGTGTACGAGAATTAGCTCCCGTGTGGAGTAAAATGACAGTTCATTGCGCAGAAGTGTTGCCAGCTTACAAGCAGCTAGTGATTGCAGTCGATAAATAATCTATCGACTAACGACTGAATATTGGCTACGCTTACGCAATAAATAGCCATACTTATTTCATTTGCAGGTGTGTATATAGCATTATTATAGTAAAATGTCCCAATAGGTGTAAACTCCATCCATGTTCACTCTTTTATCTAAATAATATTATGAAAAAAAAATAAAGCGATTCCATAATATTACTTATTACAACTACATGAGAATAGTGCCTAAATCATGGAAGCTTGCAAATGTGCAACCAGTCCCTAAAAAGGGAAGCCGCGCCGACCCCTGTAATTACAGACCAATCGCCATAACTTCCATACTCTGCAAGGTTATGGAAAGAGTTCTGAACGGTAAGCTGCTATCATACCTTGAAATAAATGACCTACTCAGTGATCGTCAATATGGCTTCCGCCGGGGACGATCAACTGGGGATCTTCTCGTGTATGTTACGCATTGCTGGGGCGAGGCCATCGAGAAACACGGTGAGGCACTGGCCGTATCGCTCGATATCTCAAAGGCCTTCGACAGGGTTTGGCATGCAAGTTTGCTGAGCAAGCTTCCTGCTTACGGCATCCCTGCCGACTTTTGCAGCTGGATATCAGATTTCCTTGGGGAACGGTCGATTCGAGTAGTCATTGAAGGCTGCTCATCTGACTTGATGGCTATTGATGCTGGAGTTCCTCAAGGGTCTGTTCTCTCGGCGACTCTTTTCCTGCTACACATCAATGACCTATTGGTCCCGGGTATAGTTGGGTATGCAGATGACAGTACAGTTACCGAGAGATATCTGTCTAGCGCAAGAGACGGCAGGGAAGATATTCGTTCGCTGAGAGAGGCTATGGTAGAGCGAACGAACCTGACCTTAAGTCTTGTTGCCCAGTGGGGTGACAACAATCTGGTCAGCTTCAACGCCACCAAAACGCAGGCCTGTCTTTTTTCCGCAAAAAGGAGTCCATTTGATCTGACTCCTACTTTTCGGGGTGTATCTGTCCCAGTTACCGACCGCCTAGAGCTTCTTGGCATGACATTAAGCGCAAACCTCAACTTTGGCGCTTCTATAGAGTCTAAAGCACAAACTGCAGCCAAGAAGCTGGGTATCCTTAACAAGGTGAAGCGATACTTCTCGCCTGGACAGCTTTTAACCTTATATAAAGCGCAGGTCCGGTCTTGCATGGAGTATTGCAGTCACCTGTGGGATGGCTCAGCGAAATACCAACTAGAGGCTCTTGACTCGATTGATCGCAGAGCCAGAAGGCTTATTGGCGACGATGAGCTCGAATATAAACTTCATAGTTTAGCCCATCGGCGAAAGGTCGCGGGTCTGTCGGTTTTTTACAGATTATACTTCGGAGAGTGTGCCCATGAGCTCCACCAGCTCATTCCATCCGCCCCCTTTTACCATCGGACATCTAGACGAACGGCGGGATATCACCCTCACCTGGTTGATATTCCTTTAAGTCGTACTAAGCGCTTTTCGTCATCTTTTATAATGCGCACAGCCCGTGACTGGAATTCCCTGCCTGCGTCTATTTTTCCGAGTACATACAACCCGAATATTTTTCAAGGTGCGATTGAATAGGCATCTCCTGGGCGAGCTCGTACCAACGTAGACCTCATCTTTGCTCTAGGGCTAGGTAGTGGTCAAGAGTTCGTCCATTTTTAATAAAAAAAAAAAAAAAAAAAAAAACATGAAAACTGTACTCACCCCAAAATATAACTCGGATAAGATGGCTTTTCATTAGATTTCGAATTAGATAACGAATGATATGTATACCTATGTCAAGAATCCATATCGTCTGTTTAAAGGTTTAAAGGTCCACATAAATGAGATTTTCCACAAAAAGTCTTTAACTTATATAGCTATGGTAAAAAAATCACAGTCTTTGTGCACGTGAAACTCGATAAAAAAAAAGCTATAAACTTAATTAAAGTTTTGTCTGCAGAAACATGGTGAATTTCTTATAACTGGTACATAATTTTGAGTGGATTCTGTTGACGTCGTTATTAATAAGGGATCCGTGTGGACTAATAATCCAGATAAATCTCCCAGGAGATTGTAGTAGGGGATTCAAATGGACGGAGGGGATTATTTTGTGGAAAATGTCACTTATGTGGTTTATAAGATTGTGGATGTTTCTATTGCTACTAGCACGGATGTTTTATTTGTAATTGTATAGTCTACTATAGGGCGACAATTTTTTTGCATTAGATTAAGAACGTGCGTCTGTACTTCACGAAGTTGATTTCGATAATATTTTGTCGACTATCAAAATAAGAATACAGAAGGCATGCGATAACGTACCTATGTTTTTTTTTGTTTTTTGCAAAATTTTTTTTCTTTCACAATTTATCGATATTGTCGATTCCGCATTACTATTTAAAATTTTACGAAAACTGGCAACCCTGCAAACGTCATTTTACTCCCATCTTAAAAAATCAGATTACAGACATATTTAAATGTCTATTTTTTTTATCTACCACTGGAAAAAATTATTTAAATCAATTCCCAATCTCAATAACATTCACGAATATAAAATACACTGGACAAACATAGAAATATAATTTACTGCAAAATCATGTCACACAAAAATCGTCAACTTTGCGTTATCTACTATATATTAATTATAAAAAAAGGTCAAAAATTCTTAAGAGATTCTAGAACAATCTGCGTTAATGTAAAATGTTAAGTAAAGGCACTTTCACACAATACGCTAATTAATCATACTTTGGACGGACTTATAAGTATTAAGTTGTTCACTTAATCTAACCGTTTTACACTTACACTAAATGTATGGCTTAGGTTCAAGTAGAGATTACTATAGAGATTCAATTTGGCCTGTATACATTGAAGAAACTCGTCACGTATTCGTAAAATACCTTTTAATACTTCTACATTGTAAAGGTATTAGTTTTTTTAATATATAACAGTCCTATAGGAGTATTGGCTTGGGCCATGTAGTTGCGTGTCCGCAGTTGCGATATAAAAAAAAACCATTAGAATAAGATTTGATTTAAAGATAATGCATGAGTAATAGACGGTTCACACGTAACGGGCGTGGATGGACATGCGTTTGACAATATGATAAAGAAAATTAAGATGTGAATTTGAAGATTAAAGTTCATATTTGTTTGACATTTCTATACAAAGTAATATCATAGTTGAACGAGGACAACGCGATAAAGAAATAGCAAGAAGTGACTAAACATCATCAACAGAACACAACAGCCATCTTCATCGTTGCTCCATCTAGTGCGAATCGTGTTATGAAAGTCTGCGTTAGTTTCAGCTTGAAGTACAATGGCCCGGAGCCAATATCTGCCTGCATAGTAAACTAACTTACATTTATTATGTGCAACTAAAAAATCTAACCGCAGATTTGGTAAATGCGACTTCCAACGATCCATAGACCGTCATGACACAATAGTTTTAATAAAACACCTTCCTTTAAACGCGTTGCTTCGACGCCAAATGTTTACTCGATCATGATTTCAAAATGGACGACGCCGATCTTCTCCCTGCGGTTGTACAAGATATTGCGCGCCCACGCGCGGCACTCGATGTTTATCACGATGCCAGCTTACGACAGAAGAAATACATCTATATAGATTTGTATAGAACAGCTGATTTGTTCCAAAAATTTGAGCGGTGGCACCCATTGACTTATAATTATATGGACGTCGGGTCCGCGCTAAAAAGTGTCCGAACTTATAGGGCGTTAAAATCGTATACAGAGCGTCATTCACGCTTTAGTCTTCATTTGTTCGACTGACAACGAAGCAAGCAAAATTAGACAGTACTGCGATGACATTACAATTTAAATTCAACGTTTTAGCTTTTTCATATTCCTTTACATGTCACTACGTTTAAATAGGTTGACTCGGGACATTTTTTTCTTGGTTTTTGTATTAGACCCGTCGTCCATTTATTTGTAAGTCAATGGTGGCACCCCAGTAATAAAATGGTAGCTTCTGAATTTTGATGTCAATGGTTCGAATACAACTTTTTTCGCTTGCACCAGTGCAATGCTAATTGCTCTAGCTCTCTCATAACTCGATCTGGACCCCGATTAAGACGTCTTCGATATGGTAACTGAACCATTCGATTAGATATCGTTCTCGAATCAAAGGGCGCTTTCCAAGCTATTCAGAAAATTCAAGTTAAACGTTTGATTCTGGGGGTCTACTCTCGATTTCCGTCAGAAACAATTACTGTCAAATAAGTAATATTCGACAAAATTAAAAGACAAGTCTCAAGTATTAACTATATCGGTATTAAAAAATAGCCAATCTTTAAAAATCTTCTTGTGATTACAAAAATAAAAATAATTGATTGATCAATATCAATCAATTATTTTTATTTTTGCAATAATAAGTAATGCCAATTGCCAATTATTTTAACATAATATAAAATATTAATGGTATTGTAAACAAAGTGAAAATCTATTTAAATTAAGGTAATCATTACAGTAAGTAACTGAAACCAAATTTAGATCACGACGGATGGAATACAGTAATGCCGAATATTAATATGTTTTGTTACTAAATCCACTACCAAAACAACTATTTGTTGAAAATATTAATTACGTACTGTTGTAAAGCACGCATGTATGTGCAGTATTTAAAAGCTTATTTATTATTTATTATATCCGATAACAAAGCAATGAATAAAAATACATAATTTTAAATAATTTTAGATTCTACTTTGCGAAGGTCCACATTGATCAATATTATCAAATAATCTTCGTACTCGCAAAAATAAAAAACTACAATTTGTTTTCATGGAGTAGCAAAGTAATTACTTTCAATTTATAAATTAAATTTCATGTAGTTGCTTCATTTCAAAAATAACTGAAATTAACAAACAAAACTAAAATCATAACTATCTGTTATCAAATAACGCGAAAATACGTCGTGTGCATAGGCTCTTATATGGTCAAATTTTCAAGCCATTTTCCATGAAAACTGAATGAAAAATAAAGAGATGGAACACTTACTCCTTGGTCGCTGAAGATGCACGGCTACGAGCGGGCTGAGGTAGCCCTCCGCGTTGTTGTACGGGTAGAAGTATCCTGGGAAGCCAGGGTACGGGCGGTACGCCAGGGGACCGATGTTCTCTTGGTCGGCAGGGGTCTCGCCGTGGCACGACACCCACACCATGTTGGCCTGGATTAATCAACGAAATTGGCACCCGCGAGGACGAGACGAGGCGGTGTGGTCTACTTCGTTGTGAGGAGGTGAAGGAGGAGGACGTAGCTCCTCTCGGGTGTTGGGTGCGCAAAGTCGCTTCCAGAGCACTCGAGAAGACCACGGTGGAGTTTTAGCCAGTAAAAGTCTGGAATAACCTTTCCTCTGCCCCCGCGGTATCCTAGGAGGATTTTCCCACGAAAAAAAATCAACAAACAATTTAGGAACGTTTCTTAACTGGCTTCAAAACTCACACAATCATAATGTTACATACCATGAAATCTTAATAATGATTCGTAATATAATTTAAACTTTATCCAGTTGGCATATCGCTGAAAGTTGAATACATAAATTGGATGTTGTTAAACCTATTGGATCCCATTCACATCCATTCACTTTCGAGATATGGCAGTTACAAGTTTAAAAGTGCGTCTCACTATTATTTTATTTTCAAAGCCTATAATGTCATGTAACGCCAGAATTATTTATTTATGTTTACATGTTGGATTTTTTTTTTGCTGATCTAAGAGGTTAGACTTTAGGAACCGTTTGTAAAAATAACTCATTTTTTGATAATTTTGTGCATTGGATCCCTTTAGCTTAACAGCGTCCAATTATCACAAGTTACGACCTTTTGATATTATATTTAAACTTCATTCCAATGTGCTGATATCTAACTACAAAACTATAAGACGCCCGTTAACGTTCTCAAAAAAAGAGTCGATCATACTTACTTTCGCTTCTTACAACAAAGAATCTATTACCATAAACAAAAAATGGAAAACTTATTATTAAATAAGACGTAACATGTTCATCGTCGTGGTAGGCCAAAATAACCGGCAACTCAACTACCTGTTGGGGCCGTGAGGGGTCAAAATGACCGGCACGACGTACCTAATTTTGCGATTCTGGTTCACGCTGCAGGTGACAAACGTTACATATTTAGCCATATAACATGACCGGTGCGGTCCTAACGAACTTCCTAACAAAGTAAGCCTAAAGAAATGGTTACCGAGAAATGTTAATCTTAAATGACAGACACATGTTAGTTTTAGGTAAACATTGATCGAGCATTACGTGTACGTACTCCGCCTGGCATTGCACGTAGCACCCTATCGGCGCGGCCTAAACGTAATAATTATTCCGTTTAGGCCACCCTGGATTGAAATGCCCGGCACTAAAAAAAATATCTAAATAGTGCCTAATAATAAAATATCGCGAAAAAACATACTCAAAAGCGACCAAAAACCATTATACATATTATTACGGATAATATTACACGTACGGGTATCATTTTTGGACTTCAAATTAGCGAAATAATGGATTTTTCCAGATCATAACGTACGAAGCGTAAATAACAGTCTGAGCTCAAACATGTGGAACTCTGCGTACTGTTGGCACACATGCCACGCCAACTACGCACTTCTACTGTATTTATTGTTCTGTGCTCTATAGTTTTAGTTTCTTTGCTCTCACACATACAGCTCTCCCTTTCAGACATGTAGGCTTTGGTCTACCGTGCTCCTAGTGCAAATAATGATATTGTGCTTACATAGTCACGGTTGTACGCGGTGATGTTCTTGATGTGGGCCTGCAAATCGAACGGCATATCGTCTGGCAGCGACTGCGTTTCGTTGTAGTACTCCGGACGCCAGCCGTAGATCCTGCAAAATGTCGTGAGGGTAAACAAATTTCAGAGTCCACAATTTACCATAATTGCTAAAAGCAGAATTAAAGTTTCAATAATATGGTTTCACGAGACCTACTTATACTCGACAGTCGGCCGTTTGTACGGCAGCTGACGTCATCTCTTACGTTAGTTTGTGAATGATTCTGTTAACACAGAATCATTCACAAACTTGGAAATGAAACTATTTTTCGGAGATTCAGTCGTGACCATGAGACCTGTAAAGGGCCCGAAAAATAGGAATCTTTGAAAAATAAATAAAAACAATTTAAATCTGGAAAAATTGTTTCATTTCCTATGTGAAACGGTCGCGAACGTAAGAACTCAATTATGTTTAACGACATATTTTTCAGTTGCCCTAATGTCCATCCCCAGTCATTAGATATATGTGTCTCTGTCCCGCTCTATAACTTATTTGCTCACAAATTCAACGGTCTAGTCTCCCCATCACATTTTTATATTTAACTTTAGTCTTCCCCCTCATATTAGACGCTAGAAGTCGTTAAATATTTATTTCTCACTACAACCAATTTTTTTCCCGCTAAACATTCCTAAAATTCCCTAGATTTAACGACTAAGTTGTTAATGATGTTAGTAATATACTCCTGTGAAGATATTAGTATTTTACAAACAACTATATAATCAGTTTACAAGAAATTTTTATAATAACTGTAAACTTGAAACATTGCATTCCTTACGAATGTATATATAATGTAAAAATAGCGGACTGTCGTACTTGTTGAGCTTCAGAAATATGCAAGGCGAAGACAGGTGAAATGAGAAATGATTCTCCTCGATGCAAGGATCCCATCCGCGGATGTCCACATCGCAAATCTTGCCCGGAGGTGGCGGATTGCGGAAGCCACAGTTGTAGATGTTCGCCCCCGCGCCTGCTGTCTGACCCTTCTTTTTGTACACTGCAATTTATTTTTATATATATACAATACATTTTATGCAGATAACAGATTAAAAATAACACAACTGTTACTTATATTGCACCCACAATAAAAAATACTTCTTAGGAACAGACAAAATAAATAAAAGTCCTGAATGTTTTTCAGTTGAAAATTAAATTTTAAAAAGTAATAACGTGTTACGCAATACATAATTCATTATCAAACAACTGTCTAAACTGTTGTTGCTATACTGCTATTTTGCTGTTGCGATTGCGTCGCGTGAACAATCAAGTTTGTAACAGTCAGCAGTGAAAGAGAAATGGCTGAAATTTTAAAAACTGACAGTTTGAAAGCTTTGTAAATATAAAAAAAGAATTCAATTAAAGAAAATTAACTAAACGCAAATTCAACATCGAGTCTCTCGACAAACCGGTGTTAGTCGGAAATAAAAACAAATTAAGGCGATTATCACACTGCACCGCGCCCCGCGACAGAGCGCGGAACGCGGAATCACGCGCGCGGTGGCGGAGACGCAGATCTGCGTCAACGTGCGGTTTAATCTGCGCGGGGGCAGCGGTCTAGCGGCCCCGCGTCACTTAAAGTACTCGCTTCGCAGTTGATCGCCGTAGTGATTGTATATGTAGCCGAGATCCTTCTTTGACAAGAATGGTTAATAATACAGAACTCATTCAGGACACTGCAATTATACTGCCTATTTACTTTTTGTTTACTCAAATAAAAAGACACCGAAGATATTGGATACATACCTTTTTACGAACCAAATCGATAAATGCATAATTTCAACTTCATTACAAAGATTTAAGAAAATATGAAGATAAATTTGGTCGATTTTCAATAGCAAATACAAATTTAGAGCGGTAACACCGCGCGGAGAAGCTTTGTCAGTGTGTTCGACGGCGCGTGTTTTCCATACAAACTGAGGTATTTCAGTACAACGTTAAAAAACGCAGCACCATTCATTTTAATGACTTCACATTATTTTAAATAACTTTTGACTGGTGACAAGAGGTGTAACAATATAACGCCTTAACATTCTCCCATTGGTGTAAACGTATAAACATCAAAACATGCACGTCTCTTTCTCTCCCTTCATCATCACAATCAAATTTTATTTACTTTTATTTTGACACTCAACTAATTGCATATTACAAGAACGTTTGACAACCTTGATGGGCCTTGCACTGTGGGCACTGATCTTTTGACCTATAATGACAAACATTATAGCATATGCCATAGATACAATATTATTATTATTACAGTCATTGACTTACAATTATATGGACGTCGGGTCCGCGCTAAAAAGTGTCCGCACTTTTAAGGCGCTAAAATCTTATACAGAGCGCGACACTCCGCTTTAGTCTTCATTTGTTCTACTGACAGCGCGATACTGCGATGACATTACAATTTAAATTTCGAATAGGTTGACTTGGGACATTTTTTTCGTGGTTTTTGTATTAGACCCGTCGTCCATTTATTTGTAAGTCAATGATTACAGTGGTTTTATTTGGGGCCTGTGCAGCCACTCATCACTGCAACCATTAAGGGATCTATTGTGATCACCACTAATTAGTTTGGAGTCAAGACCAACAGCATTAAGGAACTGGGGGACTTTCCTGGCTCCACAGTTTTTATGTCCTCTGGGTGTGGCCTGTGCCTACCAAGTATGGAACTTCTTACGCCTATTAGAGGGCAGCACCGGGTAAGGAGATGCACAGAAGTTTCATCCACCTTGTGGCAGAATCTACATTCTCTGTTTTCTCTCTGCCCAGTTTTTAACATGTGCTTGTACAAGCCACAATGTCCTGTTAAGACGCAATAGATTGAATGATACAATAAGAAGAATAGATATCTTACCTGAAAGAAAATCAATGAGTTGATTTTTCCAGTAAGCATAGCTCTCAGGTCCCGTACCCTTGTACCAGATTAAGGTACTTCTAACATCCTTAGGAAGAGGACGGAAGCCAAGTCCTGGACTGGTGCCAATGAGGCTTCCTTCCTGCTGCAGTCGGGGTACTCTGGGGTTGATGAACTGCTGCTGGAAGGTGACCAGGCAGATGAAGAAGAGGCTCACTAATGCGGCATAGAATATACTGTAGAACATCAGGAGCCTTGCTGAAAAGGAAAAATTTAAATCTTAAATTAAGTTTTTTCAACACAGTTTGAAATTATTTTTAAGTATCAAAATGGCCAAACAGTTATGTCATGACATCGAATATATATCCAGAAATAGACACGAAATGTCATTTATTTTGTTTGAAAACTATTCTGCCATATCATTACGCTGACAACTGCGCCCCCACAAGCCAGCCTGAATTTGAAACAATTGATGGGTGTCGTCAATTGTTTCACTTGAAATCTACCAGTTTAACTTGAGCTTTGCTGTAATGGACGAAAATTGAAAAATTACATTTAATTTAATATTTAATTACTGATGAAATATGATTCCATTTGTATTCTAATTAGATGTTTTGCTGTTTTCCCACACCACAATGTAACAGCCCCCCATTGTTAGAGATATTATCTTTATTACAATCAATACAGAATATTTTTGGAATATACAGAGACGTACACACAGGTCAGTTATTGGCGCTGTACTATTTCAGCTTTCTAATTTGTGGTTGCACCGCAAACAAGAGTTGATATTTAAAAGTGATATCAGTACCATTCGACTGATGAGTTGCCAGGGATGGATCGCCCTCATTTCATCTCTGTTTCTGGTTATATACTCTATGTTTCTTGACAGTTGGCCCAATTGATGGAAAGTGAAAACTGTTACCTATAAATATTTTCAGTACTAAGGGAGTATCCACAATATTCTAATGATGTTGATGACTTGGGGCATTTTGTATTCAGAAACTCAACTTACAAATGGCTCAGTTCCTAATACATTGGCCATAATCACCACTATCACCATGAATTACTGCTCAAAACCAAGACCAACAGAGCTAAATGACTAGCATGTTTATGGTTTCAATTGTTTTATTCTCCTCTGGTCAATCAGACATGGAAATTTCTAGCCTGGTTATACAGCGTGTCCCAAAATTCAACGATAAGCGGGCGCTGGAGGGTGGACCTGCGCATAACTACTTGAGGAAAAATAAGAAAAAAAATTTATATCATTTTTTTTTAATTACGATAAAAAAATTGTTATTCTTCGAAAATTTACTCCCTTAATGATATTTTAAATCACCACGACCACAATTTTTCAGATATTTCTGATGTTTTCATTTTAACGGCCACCTAAGTAGTACTGCTGTCTACCACAACTCTTAAAATTCCCAGAATGCCTGCAATTTTACAAAAAAATCCATCAAAATATTTTTTTTCCTTGAAATTTTGAAATATTTTTACCTGCAGTCGACTTTCACTCATCGTTTTGTAAAAAAAAAGTACGGACACCACTGCGGCAAGTATTTTTAAAAATTGACGCAACTAACCAAGATTCCAAAATGGTATAATACTTTAAGAGAACTAGGCGCAAAAAAATATTGGTACCATTTCTAAGAAAGACTAAATTTCTTGATTATTGTTCTTATTCATAATAATCACTTTCACTATGTGCCGAAAAAAGATTATTTGATGCAATTTCTTGGAATTTCAATGGCACATGTGCGTAGTCGATACAATTTAGAAATTAGAGAGAGAAAGATAGCGAGAGATATACGTTAGAAAGAGATAGATAGATGCCCTTTGTTGAATAACAATAAAGCAGGTACTTAAAAAAAATGTTGCAAAAAATATTCGTACCATTTTTAAGAAAGACTAAAATTCTAAATTATTGTTCTTATTTATAGTAATCACTTTTACTATTTGCCGAAAATAGGTTTTTGTTGCTGAATAAATCAAAACAAATGGTATTTCTTCATTTAATTTATTTATTGCAAAATTAACATTATAGTAAATGTTCAAATTGTTTGCCACCAGCATTAATACATGCACGACATCGCCTTAAAAATGATCGTTTTATCTGTCGTGCATATCTTCTACCGTTGATATGAGCCGCAGCTTGATTGACTTTGCCGAAACTCGTCCAATGTTGTGATGGGTTTTGCGTGAATCCTGTCTTTGAGACAACCCCAATAGAAGAAATCCAGGGGGTTTAGGTCGGGTGAACGGGGTGGCCAAGTGGGGCACCAAGTCGCCCGATCCAACGCCCAGGATATTCTTGGTTTAAGTATTCTCGCACAGGACGGGCGTAGTGAGCTGGGCAACCATCATTTTGAAACCACATGTTTTGTACATCACTTAAGGGGATGTCTTCTAATAATTCTTGCAAATCATTTTGTAAAAAGTTCAAATAACTATCACCATCTAAGTTTCCTTGTAACTCAAAGGGCCCAATCACTTTTCCATTTAATATGCCTGTCCATAGGTTAACCTTGAATTGATATTGGGATTTGTCTTGTCTCATCAGGTGCGGATTTTCATTGCTCCAACTATGTAAATTGTGAAGATTTAAATAGCCATCTTTCTTGCAGGTTGTTTCGTCCGACCATAGAACTTTGTCTAGGAACTGGGGATCTTCCCGGTGTTTTTGCAGCATCACACGGCAAAATGCGATCCGTAGTGGATAGTCCCGAGGCAATAACGTCTGCACTCGCCTATATATATATGTGGAGCGTGTGACGTTTCAGAATTCGATGTGCCGTACTTTTTGGGATTCCCGTAGCTGCTTCTATGGCACGTACTGAGGTAGTTGCATCAATGTTTATTTCATTGAGAACTTCTTCATCGCATTCCGATTTCGGTCTTCCAGCGTTTCTTCTGGCAGATGGAAAATGACCCTCCGAAAACGCTCGATACACATTCAAAAATACTCGTTAATCCGGGTATCTTTCAGTGTTTGGGTACCTTTCTCGATACAATCTGCTGGCAGCGTTAGCATTGCACCGACATTCTCCATAAATGAGGTGCATGTTAGCGTATTCCACCGGTGTGTATGGTAGCGGCATGATAAACGATAATCAGTTCAAAATACGCCAAAACTCCAATTCACAGTCCAAAGTGACGCCAGGTCAATTTAGTTTGCAGATCACTTAAATCCAGTCCAATAAGCCAAGCCAAAAGTCGTTAGTACGAGAGCTACGTTAATTGATTACGGAAAGGTGCGCAGTAAACAAAGGAGCAGAGCGTACTGACTTGCTGAGCACCGGAACTTCTCTACCTGCGTTATTGCTATTCAACAAAGGACATCTATCTATCTCTTTCTAACGTATATCTCTCGGTATTTTTCTCTCTCTCTAATTTCTAAATTGTATCGACTACGCACACGTGCCATTGAAACTCCAAGAAATTGCAACACATAACCTTTTTTCGGCACATAGTAAAAGTAGGTAATTATTATGAACAAGAACAATAATCAAGAATTTTAATCTTTCTTAGAAATGGTACCAATATTTTTGGCGCCCAGTTTTATTAAAGTATTATACCATTTTGGAATCTTGGTTAGTTGCGTCAATTTTTAAAAAAACTTGCCGCAGTGGTGTCCATACTTTTTTTTTACAAAACGATGAGTGAAAGTCGACTGAAGGTAAAAATATTTCAAAATTTTAAGGAAAAAAAATATTTTGATGGATTTTTGTGTAAAATTGCAGGCATTCTAGGGTTTTAAAGAAATGTGGTAGACAGCAGTACTACTTAGGTGGCCGTTAAAATGAAAACATCAGAAATATCTGAAAAATTGTGGTCGTGGTGATTCAAAATATCATTAAGGGTGTAAATTTTCGAAGAATAACAATTTTTTTATCGTAATTGAAAAAAAAATGAGAAATTTTTTTTCTTATTTTTCCTCAAGTAGTTATGCGCAGGTCCACCCTCCAGCGCCCGCTTATCGTTGAATTTTGGGACACGCTGTATATTTGGTGAATAATATCGATGACTCCGTGGCCGAATGGTTACTGCCAAGGTCCTAGGTTTGATTCCAGTGACTAGAGAAATATTTGTATGGCCTACATTTATTACTCTCGTGAGTTTGGGTGTATTTAGTGGTTGTCTATGTGTGTGTCCATAGCACCCGCAACACAGGTTTTCCCTAGTGCGGGGTTATGTTGAGTGTGTGCATTGTTATTATTATTATTACTACTCCTTTTCCCTTGTCGGGCACTGCCGGTTGGTTGTAGGACTCAATACCGCTATGCTGAAACTGTACCCAAGGATATGCTGATTCCTAGAGAAACCCAGGTGTGGTGTGCGTAAGAAAGAGTAGTAAAGAGTTCATCAGTAGTACAGCCACCTTACATATTTCTGCCCCCAAGCAGTAATGTCAGCATTACTGTGTTCCGGTTTTGAAGGGTAAGAGTGCTGGTGAAATTACAGGCACATTGGACTTGTCAACTTATGTCTCAGGGTGACAGGCGCAGTGGCAGTGACCCTCAGATCCATGCGATTTAAAGCTGTGAGTGGCATTGCAACTGTTAGGGACAGGAGTGTAGCTTACCATCAGATGCACAACTTATTGGAATAATATCATGTACTTTTCATATTAAAGAATATTTTTAAATATCAAAAGCACATGACAATATAGTACATTATAAGCAAACTGATGTGTCTATAAAAACACTTATAGACAGCGTAAGGCTTCTCAGACGGATTACCCTAGATTTCAGCTACTTATTGTCTCTCACGTTGACACTTAAATCATTGTCGAGTCAGGTGTACTAGCCTCTAATCACCTGATTAATAGGATTTTGCTACCTTCTATGAAATAACTCACAATTTAAGTATATTAAATGGTTTCCCATACTAAAACCTGCTCATAAGTTCCATTTTGAATACTGACACTGGCAATGATTGCCATTTTTATATTATTCTTATAAAACTGACGCTGGCAAAGCCTAGTGGCCGCCATAAAGGAAATAATAATAATAAGTTAAATTTTTATGCGGACCTAAATTCCAGTACCTATTTATTTAATTGACAAAGAAACACAAGGCACTTTTCAACGTCTCATGGTTAAGAAATGGAGGCAATTCTAATAAGCGACACTTAAGCGAAATCGAAAACGGTTTTTGTATACAAAAACAGCAAACAATGCATTTAAGCCACGCCCTCGAAAACATGTTACACCCTATTCTTCTAGCTAGAATTTTTACAATGCCTAAGTGTGTTATGTATGACTAAAGACTTAATTATTATAAACTAGAATAGATAATACAATCTCTAGTCATAAAATATAAAAATAACACGATCTTCCTTACCCCAACCTTCAGCATCTCGGTTCAAGAACTTCCCGGTGCCGGAATCGTAACCAATAGGAGACTTTTTTTGAATTCTCTGTGGTTTTCTCTCCACTTCAAATTCTTGCATGTGTGGGAAACTGGACATTTTCTTGTCTACAAGGGGATTTAATTCATGAAGATGAAATATAGCAAATAAAACTACAAAATGAGACACCCCAACCGCTCGCTAACCGCTATGTTTAGTTAGACTTTTGTTTGACTTTACCTTACCACAGACTATTTAATGACTGAACTACGTGACTTTATAGAGGAAATAGGGATGGGTAACAAATATCGTTATTTTTTTCATGAAATAATAGTATGGTCAACTGTCTCGGAAAAACAGATATAATTATCATCATTATTTTTACATTCGACATATTAAAAATCGATTTTTTTTTCGAGTATCAATTTCGATGTTTTTTATCGGAGCCTCAGCAAGACTAAGTGCTTTACGAATATTCGAAAACACATCTTAGAGCATAACTGCACAAGGGACGCCATGCCTAGGCTGTCCCCTGTCAAAGTAAAAGTAAAAGTAAAATTAAAATTAATATTACATACTTTTGAAACTATTTTATTTCATTTCCACTATCTAATTTATCGCATCAAGTGTTCATGGTTAAGACGAAATCTTACACGAAAAATTCTAAAAATAACTCTACTACATCCAGTCTAGCCAAGGATGGCCTTAATGTTCAATGTATCTGAAGTGTATTATTTATTAATGAAAGTCGTACGAAAAGCAAGGAATTTGATTATGCCAGTATACAGAATCTTGAAATTCAAAATTCAGGTAAGAAATTGATTCACCAATAGTAGTTGCAGCAGGTAGAGGGGTAATGTTATAATTACGATTTTCAAAATTTTCCAAATATCAACTTACTATAACATTATTACGACTAATTAAATTAAGACAAAATTTGTCTGTTAAATAAATTCTCCTGACGAATAATGGCGGAACACCAGACTCAACTTGTAATGAATTTATTGGAGACGACATCATAGCTCCAGTAATAACGCGTAAAGCTCTATTTTGAATGATATCAAGTTTTCGAAGCAGCTTTATGGAAGCATCAGTATAAAACAAACAACCATAATCGAACTGACTGCGAACCATATAAATATATAGGGTTTTAAGAGTCTTGGGATCAGAGCCCCAGTTAACCCCAGTCAAAGAACTTAAGATGTTAATGCGCATCTCAGCTTTTTTACAGATGTACATAATATGAGGACCCCATGTCAATTCCGAGTCTAAAACCATGCCTGCATTTATCTTTTATTTTAAATGGCAATAAGGCGTTATTATAAAAAAATTTTGGACGGTATAAAGTGCTATTTGAAAATAGCATAACAGAACTCTTTTCGACATTTACTTCCAGTTTAAGTTGAATAGTTAGTATGTTACTAAGTTGTTAAACAGTTAGTCATAGAAAGTTCACCTTGAGAAATATCATCACAATCCAAATAGATTACAGGGTCGTCAGCATAAAAGGAGAATTTTACAGAATTAGGGATATAGAATTAGGGAAATAAATATGTTTCATGAAATCTACAAAACTTAGAATAAACATTAAAGGTGACAAAACAGAATTCTATAGGAAGTTTTTGGACCAAAAGACTTATTCTTTATTTTTAAATACACGATCGTGCAGAAAACTAAAAAACCAAAATAAAATAGGACCGGGAAGACCCAGCATAAATAAACTCTTAATAATTTTTTTTTACAATATATTTTATTTATAATAAACAACAATACAATGCTCTAAGCTGTAGCTTATATAATAGAATGAACAAACTAAGTCCGATTTACTCCCTACCGAAACACACACTTAAAAAAGTACTTCAAGAATTACTTTTAACACTAAATTACAATGACATAGAAAATATGTTAAAATGAAGAAAACCACATCATTCCATTCACTCCACACACTTACACCCAAAACACACACTTCAATTAATACACACTACAATAATTACAAGGTAAAACTCTTATTACAGTACACTTATTTCAATACACTTATTTACGTATACTTATTTGCTACTGAAGCTATTCGTGTGTACTATTTAAGCACTCAATGTTGAAGGAATCACTAACTCCTAAGATACAGGATTACCTAGTTTAGGAGTTAGGGAATCACAAATATTGGCATTTCTTTACTATATTTTTATGTTTCTTTTTATGTTGTGCCTTGTAATGCCATTGTATTTCATTTTTCTTTGATCAATAAATTATTATTATTATTATTATTATTATAATTAATACAGAAATTTGAACTATACTATAGACAACGAGTACCGAATATTACACTGTAAAATACAAAATAAACGCGTTTTTGAACCAAAAGCGAATGGTTAACTATATGGGTGCTTAGACAAATTACTACTTAGAACTAGAGAAAATTAAAACAAAACTAATTAACCGGGATGTAAACCGGCTTCAGGTATCATAGACAGTAAATAATTTGTTGTGGATGCTTACCTAAAATCTGTTCAATGAGATACCAAACATATCCGTGTCACAAAATATATTATTATATAAAGATAACGAACGATGAAAATAACTGTTTCTCGTATAATTCTTATGGAGTCGTGGTGGTACGAAAATTTTTATTTTACGTTGGTGGCGTGCTGGTAAACGAGCTTTATTTATAAAATTAACCTGCGGTAACAGAGTCGGCGAATCAACCATATTGTTAAGTATTTTGTACAGAAAAACTATGTCAGATTTCTTACGGCGATTTTGTAAAGTAAGTAATTTATTACGCCTAAGAGAGTATTCGTATGGTTCAATTAGACTACTAGTACGAAAATTAAGAATCCTGATGAATTTCCGTTGGACTCTTTCTATTCGATCGATATTTCTTTTGTAGAATGGATTCCAAACCACGCTTCCAAAATCGAGAATGGATCTAACGAATGAATAATAAAATTTTTTAAATGTTATGACTTGCTTAAATGGTTTGGTAATTCGATTAATAAAGCCCAGGCTTCTAAAGGCTCGACTGAGTGTTGTATCAATGTGCGAATTGAAAGATAGTTGATCATCCATGACAATACCCAACTCTCGAATGGTTCTTACTCAAGGGTATAAGTATAATATATTGGACATTTCAGTATTTGTAAACGCAAAACAATATATTCAAAATTTCATGTGACGTTCCCGGGTAATCCCATATAACTTAAAATATTCCCAAATGGAATATTGATCTACTTTAGTTAAATGGTTGCATGTCGATAATGACTTATCGATAGGTTATGGTACGGTACTAAAGAAACCGCCATTTGTTCGTTCAATTTTTGTTTAGGTATGCACGTTAATTTCGTAGTTAGAAGGGCAGCTCCTTTCTTTTATTTTTTTCCATCCTCTAAGCCTAACGTCTACTGACTGAGTGAATGAATTTAAACTAGTTTAAATCATAATGTAAACATTTTTTAAAATAGCAACATTGTAATTAAAACGTCAATCGATCGAATGCTGTCAAAAATCTAATTGCTTTTTTCGCGTTTTAGCAAAAAAGCAGAATAGTTAGTGAAAACATAATTTTTAAAATGGCTTCAATCTATAAAATCATTCTAATAGTGGGATTCATATCCCTGTTCCACTCAGCATTCTCTGCTGCACAGCGTAAGTTAACAACCGACTGTTGAAGAGTCGTACGAGTAGGTACATAATTCATTTCTACATCTACGCAATTGTTTTGTGTTTCAGATCGATCCTATTTGCGTTTGACTTCTCAAGAATTCACTACTCTGCCTTTAGATGTAAGTACACAAAGTCTACATCGTCGCTTGAGAATCTTGAGGTTGTATGAATCAATTATTCATGGTTACCATTGCAACGTTACAGATCGTAGTTCAAGCGGTTCTAAGTTTATTTGCGGTGATGTGGGGAGTGCTTAATGTGGCTGGTAACCTGCGAGAGATCCCCGCCGCCGCTGAGCTCAACCAGACTAAATGGGAAACTCAGCGAAATGTTCCTTCTTTTTACATGTTCAACCACAGAGGCCGAGCATTGGCATACAATTACATACCAGCAACAGGGAAGTCAGACTTGGAGAATACAGATTTTAGTTAATCTGATAGTATAATTTAGTGCTTGCAGGAATAATTGTTAAGTTATAATTATAATGTTTATTATGTCAAGGCAATTAAAGTTATTGCAATAATGTTTGTGTGTAAAATGATATATGGACATGGGTTATATTTGTTTACACAAAGAAAATAAATTAGAGAAATATTCCTTTATTGTATTCTTAAAACTATTGCATAACATTTTTAAATTTGGCCCTCACCACACAGTAGGGTACTCAAAACATTCGAAATGTTGCAAACTTAACTACTTCATAAATGTAAAAATTAACCTAGAACTAGCTAGAAACTTCACTCCTATTCTAAAGAGAATATTGAGTAGAGTATGTATTCTCACAGGTGATTACACACTCAGGGGGTCTACTCTCGACATCCGTCCGAAACAATTACTGCCAAATAAGCAATACTTCACCAAATGAAAAGACGCGTGATGCGAATGAAGCTTCATACTTGATACTTGACTTTTAATTTTGTTGAATATTACTAATTTGACAGTAATTGTTTCGGACGGATGTCGGACGGAGATCGAGAGTAGACCCCCAGATTAGGGATGCACGACTTTTTGCTTTAAATAAATTTTTTAAATCGTAGTTGATCACATGCCTCTGAATAGATTCACAGATCATATGCTTTTGAATCAATCTTATAAAAATTGTTTCAAATGTGATTTTGGTAAAAAAATAATATTGACAGCCTTTTCGGCTTTGGTCGACTTTCATTTAAAGATATATTAATCCGTGAGAAAAGACATTCAGATGGCACATAAGTAGCACCACTCGCCCAATGTAGTAGAATTATTGTACTTCGATGTTGCCAAACTACCAATATAAAATAGGACTAAGCATATGATTCAGTCAAGGTTCAATGTTACTGTTTTGTCTAAATTAAGAATACAATTGAGACCATTCAATTCGCCTTAATGTTGAATTGATTTGGTTAAAAATTGCATTCCAAGGAATTTACAATACAATAATTACAATAACCATGAAAAGTCATTGTCAACTGATGTAGTTTTTGTTCAGTATGTACCTGTGAAACTCATATGTCTTAGTTTTTTCTTATAACTTTAATATCTCTATTTATTTGGTGTTGAAGAGTCTCATTAAGAGCTTCCACTCAAAAATGCATATTCTAACATGGTGAGGGCCACTTGCATATTTCTTGAACCAAGATCCACATTAGCACTATTATCACATACTGTGCTTTACATAACGCACTATCTTCCACCACGACCGCCTCTGAAGTTGCCACCTCTGCCTCCGCCGCCGCGCCCAAAACCGCCACCGCCGCCTCTACCTCCAAAACCACCTCCCCTGTTGAAGCCGCCGCTGCCACCACCTCCTCTATTGAACCCACCACCGCCTCTGTTGAATCCACCACCACCCCGGCCACCTCCGCCGCGACCAAATCCACCTCCGCGGCCGCCTCTTCCACCGCCGCCTCTACCACCTCGACCTCCACCGCCCCTTTTCGCTCCCGGCGGCTGCGGTAGAAACCGTTTCAGTGGTAACAATTTGGCAGGGTCGATAAAAAACTGCTGCCCTTCCTTGAAACTCTTTGCCTTTATGTTCTCTCCGAGCTTCACTGATACAAAATAGTCCCTCAGGTTACCGAATATCTCGTCGATTTTTCCAATCTGTTCCTTGTTTTCGAGGTAAATGGGCGCGTTAAAATATGGTACATCCTCTATATCTACTTTACAAACGAGGTCGTCTTGGACGGTCCAGCCGAAATGACCTAGAGGTATGACGGACTCAGGTGGTCCAGCATCTTGATGTCTAAAGTTTCCGCCCCCACCGCCGCCTCGACCACGAAATCCACCACCTCCTCGTCCTCTGCCACCGCCGAATCCCCCACGGCCACCACCGCCTCCTCTTCCACGGAAGGACATTTTTTAATAATTCTTAAATAAACAAGTTCGTGTGGTAGTAAAATATAACCTCAAAGCCCCACGTTCACACGCTTGACGGCTGACGCTATTTTGACAGGCATGCCATCGTGCCAACATTACAATAATATTATCAACAACGTCAAATGTCCCTACACCATCACCAAATTACGGAAATTTGTTTTCAAAATCGATCGGTTGTGTTGGCCACACCGTATCTTTGTCAATCACATTAAAATGTAAACCATAAAATGTAAACTGTAAAGTGCCTACCTACCAATCTAAAGTTGGTGAACGAATGAGAACGACCGTTTTGTTTTTGAGATAGTAAAGTAAAAATTACTAAAAACGACGTTAAATTAATGAGGTGAAAACGCTGGTGTTTAACTATATTGAAATGCGTTACTCTTCTAATTAAAGACGAGTTTTTATTATATTGTGGTATAGTATTGTTATGACGTATAACAATGGCGAATTTGGAAGACGAAATACGAGATCTTCGGGAGAAAAACAGCGAATTGGTACAAGAGGTACAATACTTGAAGATCGCTGACGCTCAGAGGCAAAAGGAAAATTTGGAATTGATGAGAGAAAACAACGAACTACGTTTAAAATTGAGCGTAAGCAATATCTATTTCTGTACCCAATTTCACTAATTTGATTCACTTTGTGGTCAAAGTCATCTGCATTTAATTCCTCTATAACATTCATCAGTACGATTATATTTTTGCTTAAGTCTGGCTCATAATATCTACAATAAAATGCTAAATCAAACAGCTGTTTTTAGTAATGACAACTAATCTTCATTAGTAAACGAAATGTTTATCTAGACTCATACATTATGAGTAACAAACATTTTTTCTGAGTAATGGTAAACATTAATAAATAAATTTTGAAACAAAGCAACAAAAAGTATTTTTTTTATCAACTTGCATCTTTGTACGCACTTATGTATTTGCAGACATCCTCAATTTGGATGATATGCATTTCCTTTATAAATTTATGGTGTTTTATAGCGTCTCAAAAGCGGTGGGGAGGCTCAGGCTCGTAAGCTGGACTCGGCATTGCAGTCTGCCAGTGCAAATGCCTTGTCACACTTAGTGCAAGCCTCTGGGGCCATCGCCAGGACTATAGAGCTGACCAAGCAGTATATACAAGAGCGGCAGGAACTGGAATCTGCTTCGCCGCGCTGGAGCGCCACGGGCAGCTCGCCCAGCACTGATAAAGTACATAAAGTGCCCCCGCTGTTACTGGGTGGCCAGTCCATACAGCCTGTGGTGGCACTTAGCAGGACAATACTTGATTCTAGTACAAGTGAGTCCACATTAATCGTGTGTATTAAATTAAAAGCTAGACTTAAACTTTTGCATATAGTGCATTTCACATAGCATGGGTGTGGTGATGTTTGAGATTGAAATTTCTAGTGATGTAGTGATGTAAAATCTAATGAAAAAAAAATCTATTTAAAAATCTTATTGAGATAATTTGCAAAAAACATAGAATCAATCAGAAACAATGATTTAAGAACAAATAATAAACAAAATAAAAATGATTCAATTATTATTTTATTAACTAAAAACTGCACTTCAAATAAAAAAGAACAACAGGACCCGAACAAAAAGCTACAAATTTCCAATTTCATTTATCAATTCTATGGTCAAGTCTCTATGGATTATATCTTTAACATTTCATTTTTTATGTACTTAAAATACTGTAATATTTACTTAAAATTATCATTGCAACAAATATTGTTTGTTTTTGGTAACCTGATTGAGACATAAGCTAAAAATAGTATAACCATCGTACCCAGTGTGCCCATCCCATGTGAAATAGACTATAGCTGCTCATTCCCTTTAAGAGAAGGCAGACACGCTTTAAAAGAATTATTGTACAAGTGAAGTGAAAGAATTGGTATCAAAATTTTGAGAAATTATATTATATTAATATTATAATATGTTACGCGATGATTCCGGCATTTGTGAACCGATTTTGATGATTCTTTTTCTGCTGGAGTGATGGTACCTCAGAAGTAGTCCCATTTAAATTTGAAGAAAATGTTCCGCCTCTAAGGGTAGCAAACTAGGGAATGAATGACTTTTGAGGTCGGTTTTTTAGTATTCTGTATTGAGATTATATGGTAACAATTTCGATTACAAGCAGAATTGGGCGTTAATCAATTTCAATCAGAAATTTCCGATTCATTCATACAGTCATTACGAATATGGCACTCATTTCTAAATCCAAGATGGCGTGCACGATTTTTCAAATAATGGTAGGTTGGGTATCGTTTTCGAGGTATTTGGGGGTGCTCATTACGAATAAGACACGCATTTCTAAATCTAAGATAGCGGACATGACTTTTCAATTAAATGTAATATGGGTGTCATTTTTGAGGTATTTGAGGGTGCTCATTGCGAATATGGCACTTATTTCTAAATCCAAGATGGCGGGCAAGATTTTTCAAATAATGGCAAGCTGGGTATCATTTTAGAGGAATTTGGGGTGCTCATTACATATATAGTATTTATTATTTCTAAATTGAAAATGGCGGACACGACTTTTCAAATTAGCAATTAACAATTAATTAATTGTTAATTGCTGTTCTCACAATTAACAATTAATCAATTGTTAATTGCTGTTCTCGCAATTAACAATTAATCAATTGTTAATTGCTGTTTCGCAATTGACAATTAATTAATTGTCAATCTTTAATTGCCTGAACAATTAAATTTTGCCCAACACTGATTACAAGTTTATGATATTTGTAGTGAATACATATTTGAAGGCTAGAGCTCAAAACAAGGTCTACTCCGAGCTCTTCCATTGACCCCGTCTGCTGATGGAGAAACAACTAACAATAACTAAGTAATATTAAAAGATTTATACACATCTTTTCAGGGTCAGTGCCAAGGACGCCAAACCACAATTCAAGTGTGACTGAGAGAGCCGTGCCCATTCCTATGCATATGCTTCAAGGTAAAAAAGTTCTTAGACACGAGTGACGCCCATGGGCATTGCGTCGTTACAACACTGTCAATTCAGCACCATTAGCGTCTCAACGTACCGTGAGGCATGTCGTTCTAATTTATATGTAGTGCAATGCAGGTCACGTAATCCGCCTCGTGGACTTGACACGTTACCATGTAAATTCCCCAAGGTGGTTGTGAACCTTCATCGCGATGTTTTCTTGCACAGTTTGCTAGAGATTTTGCTACCAAATATTCAGAAATATATGTGACTTTGAAATTAGTCATACATACCTCCACAGAGATTGCACTGTAGAGTTCTAATTGCGAAGCAACCATTCTCCCGCTGAGTCACCATCGCTTTTTTTTTTCAATATTTTGTAATAATAATAACCATCTGCGATCAATCTTGAATCAGAAACTGATCTGTGCTATAGTTTAATGTAGTTTGGAATAAAGAGTCCTGTGACTTCTTCCTTAGTCATTAAATTGTGTTCTATTGATTCAACTTTCTAGTATTCTCGACTTTTTGTAATGACTCAAACTTTTCGGCAATCAGAGATCTTGCCAATACATAGTGCTAATCCTGACTTATACTTTACGCATCGGTATTCTCCTGTTTGATAGTTGTAATTTCAAGATAGTCATGTATTCCCTGAGTTCTTACAAACCAAGGTGATTGGACTATGATCTGGTTAAGAATCTGGGAGTGTATCTTTATTATTAGATTACATTAAAGCAAAACAAGATATTTTAAACAACAAATTCAGATCTATGTTGTGAATAATGGCTATTTTTTAAACTTTATTTTTCTAATATATTTTTTTTAATTGCTCTGTAGTGATTCAATGAAACGTTTCCAAATTTTAAAGTTTGATCGCCATAAAGTTTGCTTATCACAAAAACGTTTTCAGACCTATACATCCCCTTGCAACGAATAGATTTGGCTGAGCTGCAGGGGAGCAATACAGAGACTGAACAGGAGGCTGATGTAGATGACATAAATGGTAAATATTTTTTATATTCTGGCGCAACGATGAAGAAGGGAAGGGACTAAGTGTAGGTAGTACCTTTGAGTTAGAAAATTTTTTAATAATAAATCTTTTAGTATTTTTTTTCAATCAACCTATTCGTTAGAAATTTTGTAGACATGCGACATAGGCTAGACGTATGTTTAGTTAATCTAGATCTAGGTAGAATTAATCTACTTTTGTGTCGTAATACATATTTCCGTGGTGTATTTAGGTGACCTTTAAAAAAATCTTTATTTTACGTACAAATTTACAGATCATATTAATAGTAGAGTACATTAGCACTAATAATTCTAGTTTTGTGGGACGTGTTAGGAAATGTTTTGATTTTGTTGGAATTGTTTGAGATTTTAATTTTTAGGAAATGAGACTATTTTTCCGGATTTAAATCGCGTATATTTGTTTTGGTCACGACCATGAGACCTGTAAAGGGCCCGAAACATCAACATTGTTCGAAAAAGCAAATATACGCGATTTAAATCGGTAAAAATAGTTTCATTTCCTATGTGCAACAATCGCGAAAATCGATATTTTAATTTTTTTGATGATGGTAAGCTACACGCTTGTCCATAACAGTTATAGTGCTACTCAGAGCTTTAAATCGCAAACATCTGAGGGGCACTGCTACTGCGCCCGACACCCTGAGACATAAGTTAACAAGTCCCATGTGCCTGTAATATCACCAGCACCCTTACCCTTCAAAATCAAAGCACAGTAATGGTCACACTACCGCTTGGTGGCAGAAATAGGTAAGGTGGCAGTACTTCCCTGGACGAACTCTATCACAAGGAGGTCTGCTGCTACTAAAATTATATTTCGACTGTGAACTGGCAACCGGCACTGTCTCAATTTTAGCAACTTTACACGATGAAGAAAAAAATTGTTTGAGTCATTTACCATGATCTGGTCATGCATCTGGTTTATTAAATAAAAATACGCACTGTATGTGTAATAAAAATATTTAAAAACTTACCTATTTTTATTTAATAAATCGGATGCTATATAAATGTCGCAAACAATTATTTTCTTCATCCTGTAAAGTTGCCAAAGTTGAGATAGTACTGATGGCCAATTCGCAGTCGATTTGTTTATATGTATATCAGAAAAAGTATATTTGTTGGATGTTTGTTTATGTAACAGCTCTCTGTCAGGGTCCATGTTTTTTATTTAATAACGTACACACTCAACATACATATTTATTACAAGATGCAAAAAATTGTCCCAGTTTTAATTTCAGGCTCTACAAATTTTCGAGATGTAAAACTTGGCACAAACTATAGCATCTATTTTTGCAATTAATTATTGTTTTTAAATATTTAAATGTAATCGAGTATTTGTTTTATATTCCAGATAGCAACGAGCAATCGCTTCTAGCAGATGAATCCAATAACCTATCAAGAGTGGACGAATTGGAAGAATCCTCGTGAGTGATTGTCTGATCAAATAGCCTAGAACACGCCTTGGGGAGGGCGCGGGGAAGGACTGATATTTCTGCGTTATGACTACAGATTAGAATAAGTAGTATCGCCAATTCATTGATACAGAACAATAAATACAATGAAGTGGTTAGTTAGCATCGTACGCGTGCCAACTGTAGGCATAGTTGTGCCTACTTGAGCTTAGTTCGCCATTTTTGCTTTGTACGGTGTAGTAACTGGCCGTAAGACGGCAAGGACGTTGAATAAAATTTCAATATAAAATCAAAACGTAACTTGCAATAAAGGTTTAAATTGAACTTACAACGCTATTGCGACTGGGTAAAGTTAAATTTATTTTAACAGTCCAGAATTAGATACATTTTTTCAAATTAGAAACTATGACCAATCATTATCATGATTTCGTAGTGTTTTTGTGGGTTTTGGCGACAGCAGTTCTGATAGTAATTGAGGCTTAATGCACTTATATTGTTTTTTTCTTCTTCCGTGATTGAGAATGTAAAATACAACCTACATGTATACCAACACATAAGAAGCATATGTATCTTTAAACTGATTTACATCGGTAAACAGACAGACGCGTGAAATTACACAAGTAACTGATTTTATAGTTTATACAAATGAATCGAGGTTAACATCCGAGTGGCATTCAAACGCTCGTTGCTCCACCTCAACCTCACAATTGATTTCTGATCACACTGATACGTCCATCCATAGACAACTGCTAAAACTAAACTAAACCTGATTTCTGGTCATACTGACTCAAATGGTCTAGGGCGTAAGTTTATGTATGTATGATTCATATATCTGATTAGTCTGTCTGCAGACAGTCCGATAGTATCAGTTATTACTTATTAATTAAACTAAACAACACTTGATTTAATCATCCTGATTTCAACACCTCAATGTTTGTTAACTTTGGTAACATATGCACTGCATTATAATGAGTTGAGACGCTGACCTTGAGCGATAACGCGCCTACTATAATTTCTCCAATAAGATGAGGCCATACGCCCCGATGCGGTAAGAGTGTGGTAGTTGGACCTTCTGCTTGATTTAACATAATATTGATTGCCGCTAACAGATAGCGTTGTACTTAAAATACATACATGCTATAATTATTAATACAAAGATCGAACACTCAGAAAAAATTCCTTCGATCCGGTCGGATACGAACCGACGTCTTCATGCATACCGTGCCAGACGCTATACCAACTAAGCCACGGAACGAACCAACGGACCTCACGAATTTTTCTATGTGCTTGCGTCGTGTCTTTGTACTTGGTCTTTCAACGACTTTTTAGTCGTAGCGCCATCTATGAGAAATCTATTACAGATTTATCACCCATCATCGAAGGAATTTTTTCTGAGTGTTTTTTCTGAGTGTTCGATCTTTGTATTAATAATTATAACAAACTAGTGAAGTAATTTCACAAAAATAATTGAATATCAATTCAATAAAAATTTAATTAATACATACATGCTATCAAACCAAAAAATATCAAAAATGTTAAAGAAACAACCCACACCTCGAGTGAAATTGAGTTATGTATTTAG